ATATACAATAATATTGTGTATACGTAAAAAAAAATATATATATATATACATATATAAATAGTGAATGCAAAAAATGAAAATTTATTAATTCTTATTAAATATTTAATTAAAATTTGACTTCTATCTATATATGTGTGTGTGTGTGTGTACATATATATTGAACGCAAAAAGATATTAATTTTTATTAGTTATATGAATCATACAAATATTTTACGCAAGCGTATATTCTGCTGAAATAATAAAACTTATTGCTAGAAAAATTATAAAAGGTTAGAATATATAGAAGGCCAATACAAATTACCTGACGCAAATTTAAATAAAGGTCCCAAAAGTACAACAGCCATATCGCCAACAAAATCGATTCGAGAATATGCTTCTCCATAAAATTCACAAGTATTTCCATTTTAACACAATATGTGTATTAATAAAATATCCTCATATCACACTGCTACGTCAAGATCAGTCAAGATCATCCGACCACGTTCTTCTTCTTATCTGTATCTGTATGGCTAGTTAGGCTTCACGTGCGAATATACCAATATACCTATACGCCAATTGGTGATATCCGAACACATTCCAGTACTCCTAGATCATCGAATCTTCACAAGAATACCGATTCGCGTGTCCGTGCAATAACTGCTTGCAGGGTTATTAGAACACTGATGCAGGGATGCCAGACTCTAGACTCTAGACTCTAGACTCTGGCACCGACAAGGGCTGCGTTCCGATATTCACTGCCAGTATTGAAAATCTATAGTTTACGTCACGTACACTATAGATTTTCAGTACTGGCAGTGAATATCGGAACACTGCATTGTCGGTAATATATAAAACAGTAATTTGATAGAATAAAATTTATTTTGTTATTCTTGAGACAGCTACATAAAAGATCTATATATTTTTGAAAATAAAATACAATAGCTGGATGAGCAAAAATAATCGCATGATTTAAATAACTCATAATGCAGTCAAAATGGCCAGTAATCATCAATCTTCTATTTCCGGGTTCACCGAGCACAATAGTCACGAAAATTTACTCAGGGCCAGCGATCTTTAATAGTATCTCGTCGGTGACTCTAGCAACACGCAGTGAGGGAAATAACACCCACAAGCGAAAACCGCATATGTGTAATGCGCAGAGCGTTTTGTGTTCATCGTCAAATATAACATATGGATATATAATTATACATATTTATATTTTTTATTATGTATATGGACTCTATCCTCCTCTTCTTTTCAATAGTCTTTCTCAATAGCGACATCAAAATATTTGTGATTATTCAGTGATAAATTAAATTAAAAATGAGATTCTCTGTTTATATATATAATGGCCGCGTTCAGCAGAGGAAACCGCTCAGTAGTAATCGAATGTGATTACTTCTTACTTTTAGAACAAACAAATCAACATAGAGTGTCGAAAAGATGATAACTGAGCGCTTTCTTTGTCGAACGCGACCAATGTGTATATGTACATAAATGCATATATGTATTTATGTTTAAAATTCGTATCTTTTTTTTTTGTAAATTCGCACTCCTTGATAATAGTAATAAAATTTAAAATAGAATTTAATTTTTGTATTTGAGTTTTTTCTATTATAATAAATATATATTTATTTCGCCTTTTTACTCTTAATTTTTCTCATATAAAATTCAAGTTCTTTGCCTTCTAGAATGTAGCCATCAGCTCTGCCACATTGACCTGGTCTGCTTGCTACACAAGCTAAAAAATTAAATAATTTACTTTCAAGTCTATCATCAAATTTAAAATACATACATAATGCAATACATTAACAAGTATTTAAAAAATTATCAATTTGATAAATATTAATTTATTTCATAAGAAAACTTTATGAAAAAAATAAAATATTTATACCAAGGACACGTCCTGTTGCAAACTGCTCTTCCAAAGCAGATTCCACCTTGGCAAATCGCTGCCTGGCCTTGTATTTTGCTTCGATTTTCTTGGAACGCTTTTTATTCAACACTTCCTCTTCAGCCTCTGTCTATAAAAGCAATTGCACTTTGCGCATTGTATATTTCATAGATCATTCCATATATTTAAAGTGAGTTATATTTTAGTAGTAGTATTTTAGTAGTTACCAGTTTTGCACCTCTTTTGCGACCCAGTGGAAAGACATAATGACTTTCATACCACTGTCTAAATGGTGTTGCATCAATGGTGACAATGGCATTTTTCACCAGAGTTTTTGTTCGAACTAACTCATTGTTTGATGCATTGTAAACAACATCGATGATACGAGTTTTTCTGGTGCTGCATTCAGAGCCCCAAGAAAAGTTTCCTGTATCCAATCTAAGAGCTCTGTACTTCTTATTGCCTCCACGTGTACGAACCTTATATACATACAAAAGGCACAAGCATATTTATAACAAAGTTTAAACCATTAGATATATGTTACATATAAAATTTAAATCAGAGAGCTGTAGGATTATGGTCAATCATAGCACTCAGAATAGGTAAGGAAGTCATCATTTTGTACTTTTATAAATGTCAATAGATTACATTATAAAAAAAAAAATGTTATTCCACAAATATTTATAATAATTTAAATATTCTTTTGATATATATAATAATGCTTAATAATATAATCACTGCAAACTACAATTTTATTTATTGTATATATTTTATTATATTATTCATTAATATTTATTTATTTTTATAATTTATTCATTGCAAAATTGAGTTCAAACTTACAGTATGAATCCGTTGTGGTCCAAGCTTAGTGTTCGCAGCTGGACGCCCTAATTCAAATTTCCTTTTCTTACGAAGGGGCTTCCTCTTCCCACCAGTAGGTCGCCTCTTATGCCAATGATCCCGTGAAATACCTGTAATACGACATTGATAAATATACAATATAAATTTAGGCACTATCACATTTTAAAAATAGTTAACCTATTTAAATATAGGAAATATATATACATATATAATCACATATAAACACAGTGGAACTTTTTTTTAAAGCTTTATTTTTATATAATAATATAATTAATAATAATTTATAACTATATAAGTAATTCATCGATATTTACTAATATATAGTATAGCATTTATTTAAAAAAGAATAAAAATATAAATCATAATAGAAAAAATTATACGTTTAATGTTACTGACGCTTATTGCGAAACAATTTTTACAATTAAGTGTAAAAATACAAAAATAATTTCCTTCGGAGCAAGTATAACATCCAGTTCAAGTGCTGTTCATGTTTTATTATCAATATATAACAAAAAAAACGTGGATTTGTATTGATATTAATAATAACGATAAAATTATATCTCTTACCCATCTTGCTATTTCTTAAAAAGAACCCGAAACTGTAAAATGCTAAAGAGAGCTTATTGATCAAAAGGTGCCTTTACATGGCAGCGTTAAGCGTTGAGCGTCTGAGCAGAAAAATGCGCAGAATTTAAACGAGATAGATTCTAGGCTGAAATTAGTCGAGTATTCTCCTCATACTTGACTATGATTGGTCAATTTCTTAACGCTTAAGGCTTAAATTACCTATTGTAGGCACTAAAGGCACCTAGGCCGGTATTCATAGTCCGTTCTTATATCCAAGATCGTCTTAAGCCCGTGTCACACTACGCATGGCACTAAAGGCACCTAAATACAGCAAAAATTTTCGAAATCACGGCCGGTATTCATAGGCCGGTATTCATAGTCCGTTCTTATATCCAAGATCGTCTTAAGTGTGGTCTTGGGTCGTCTTAAGATCCCATTCAACCAATGAAATGGCCGCATAGTATCTTAAGATCGTACTTAAGACGATCTTGAATATAAGAACAGACTATGAATACCGGCCCTAAATACAGCAAAAATTTTCGAAATCACGGCCGGTATTCATAGTCAGTTCTTATTTCAATGAATACCGGCCTTATGAATACCGGCCTTAAGCCCGTATCAGACTACGCATTGAAAATTGAAGATTGAAGATTAAAGATTGGAATTTGACTTCATAGTCCGTTCTTATATCCAAGATCGTCTTAAGCCCGTGTCACACTACGCATTGCGGACTCGAATCGGATTTGGAGTACGGACTGCGAATCGTCATCCATCCAATCAGAGCGAAGTAGCCAAGGATCTGATTGGATGATTGACGATTCGCAGTCCGTAATCCAAATCCGATCCGCGTCCGTAATGCGTAGTGTGACATGGGCTTTAAGTGTGGTCTTGGATCGTCTTAAGATCCCATTCAACCAATGAAATGGCCGCATAGTATCTTAAGATCGTACTTAAGAGATAGATTCTAGGCTGAAATTAGTCGAGTATTCTCCTCATACTTGACTATGATTGGTCAATTTCTTAAGGCTTAAGGCTTAAATTACCTATTGTATTATGGCCGGTATTCATAGTCAGTTCTTATTTCAATGAATACCGGCCTATGAATACCGGCCTTATGAATACCGGTCTCGGTCTAGATATACTATGTCTATGGCCCTCGCACACTGGACGCGATGAGCGATATCCAATGAGAGCTCTGCTTTTTCGGAAAAGCTCATCGCTCATCGCGTCCAGTGTGCGAGAGCCTTGAGTAGTGACGTTACTGTGTACTGTGGCTAATATAAAATGGAGATATTATTTGGGACATGGTCACAGGTCACAGTGACTGTGAAATTTAACTGTTGAAATTTCTATTTATTATGGTTTTAGCAATAGATTTTGCTTTGCATCATATTTTCACCAATGAATCCAACACGATCAACTAATGTTCGGCGACATGAGGAATCAAGATCTGCTCGGAATGAAGACCAGGATGCTCATTTAATTTCACGCTCAAGGACCGAAGAAGAAAAGCAAAGACGTAGACGTGAATGGCAACGGCAGCAAGAGCGGGAAAGGCAACATGAAAAATTGAAGCAGCAAAAGATATTAGAGTATGAAAGAAGACGTGCGCAAGCTTTAGGATGTGGTGAACCAAAATCTTTAGATCGTAGTCGAAGCAAAAGCAGTAGTAAGTCTCCTTCGCAGTACCGGCATAGAGAAAAATTTACGATAAATGTTTCCAAATCTGGTACGCTGTTTGAAAAGTAAGTTTTAAACATATATATAGCTGTATATGCATATACATTTTTTCTAGTTCAAGCATTTATTTTATAAAATGAATTGATTATAAAGAAAAATGTCTGAAGTCACACTTAAATTAAGAAATAAAAAAAAATTATGAAAATAGAAAAGATAATACGAAATAATTTATAAAGAAAATTACAATACAATATAAACTTTTAATGTTTATCATCGTAGTAATCTTATTCCATTATAAATCTTAGATTATTTGATTAATGCATGTGTCATACGTTATTTGTCATCTTAAAGAATAATCGAATGGCAGTGACAACATTTTCAATACTATAAAAAGCATGATAGTTTATTAGTAAAGTAGAACAAGAAAAAATAAGATTATATGAAAAACTAAAGCAAAACATAATTTTTAAGAACATATTTGAAAGCAGAATTGTTTTCCTGGAGATCTTTTCTGAGGAAATCTGGTTATATACTTTAATACAAAATGTTTGACAGTTATAATTAATTTAATAAATTACAATTGGATTTTCTTCAGATTAGATGGGTCTACAAGTGGGACAGTTCCTTTGTTCAAAGGTCCTGAGGGCATACAAATTAGTACTACTGAACTACGTCGAATTAAAGTTGATATTCGCAGAAATATTCCTACAAAAGGACCTATTCCCGAGCTACAACGAAGTATACTTAATGCCGAAGAGGTGGTCCTCAAAAGAAGAGAGGGTAAAATATTGATCTTTTCTCTGAAATTTTTTATTTAATTTCTCTAAATTTTTATGTTTTACAGAAATTATTATTTAGCACTCAAGGTGTCTTCCCTAGAAAAACTTAGAAAACTAGAGATTTCTTAGGAGTTTTTTGTAGAAAATTCAGGAATTTTTTAAAAATTTTATTAGAACTCAGTAAATTGTTTAAAAAATTCTGTGATAATTTTGTTCTTATATTATTAGCCATTTTTGCTAACCAGTGATTGGCTAAAGTGTGAATTAAATATATGTTTTAGATATATTTTCAATATTTATATTACAAAAGTCATTCAATTCTTTTTAGTGCATTTTCAAATATTTGAAGTTTAAGTGGCTCTTTATTTTTTTGTATGTATGCAGAACATTAAAAAACGTGTGTGATAAAAAAAACTTATTTTATGAGATTGTATCTAAACACTTTCTAAATTTGAGAACACTCTGGAATTTTTTACAAAAATACTTGGAAGATTTAGAAATCTTTTTACAAAATTTGAGTAGACATTCTAGCATTACAACATTTGAAAAATCCAGTTATAGCCAAATCTGGACAATAATTTTCATTGAAATATTGATGATAAGTTCTCATTGCATAAAAATCGCATAAAAGTTATATGTTGCGTGTGCCAAATTGATCGATAGTCCTGCTTTCATTCGATATTTACTATATATTATATAAAATTAGTACTGAGCTCCATAAAGATAACATCAAATAAAAATGATCATTGTTGACAATTATATGCATGTGATACAATAGTTTTCCATAACATATAAGGCAAATACTGTGAACAGAGAAGAAACAGAGTTCTTGTATAAAGATAATGAATCTTCAAAAGTCAGCTTTTCTCATATCCAAAGATATCAAGATATTGTCAAGAACCAAAAATTATGTCTTTAGAAAATAATAAAGTGAATGTTTAACAAATGACTCTTGATTATATCAAGACAGAATTGACAGAAGTTTTTTAAATTTCTATGATCAAGAAATAATGTAATAAACTATAATAATAGTTTACGGATAAAGCATGAAATTGATATGGCATTGTGGAACACCTGGGAAGAATGGGACAGTCAATTATCTATATATTTCCTCTAAAGTTGGTCCTCAAGATTACAATCTTGAAGAGAAAAAACTGCATTACATCTGTCAAATTAATATATCAGTAGTTTTTTGTTTTTTTTTAATAAATAATTTACAAAAATACATTACAAAATAATAGCTATATTCAGATACAATAAAGAATGAAAGAAATATTTCTCTTGTAATGAGTTAAAAAAGTCGATTATTGATATTTATTATAAAAAGTTTTTTGAGGAAAATAAGATTAATCTGCAAAGAAGTAATCAAGAAATAGTACAACTCGTTAAACAGTAATAATAGTTTAGAGATAAAACACAAAATCGATATGTCGTTTTGGAAGAATTTTTGCGCTTTAGAAAAAGAAGGGACAGCCAACTATCTATATATTTCCTTCAAAGTTCTGATCCTCAAGATTGTTTATCAACAAGGAAGAACATCTTTTGAAGAATTGAACATCTTTTGAAGAGTTGAACATCTTTTGAAGAGCTAAATTATTTTCTTTTCTTTAGAAGTTTAAACTTTGAACAGAGATAAAGCCTTTTGAGGAGCGGAAAGATAGATTGCTTCTTTGAAAGAGGACTTCGTCCACGGTTTTTGATCCGTGATTTTCCCGTGAGACGAGGGCGAATGCTGAAGCAGGGACTTGAATAGTCCTCATGAGGACGATGGGACCATGAGCTGATATTCCCCCCTCCTTGTCTGAAGATTCTTGAAATGCAACGTCAACAAAATTCTACTTCATGGAAAATGTTATTCTACTTTACAAATTACTTGACAAATGTTATGTTAGGCTGTGTTCCGATTCCCCACCCGAGTGCACCCAATATTATAGTATACGTGACATATACTATAGTATCGGGTGCACCCGGGTGGGGAATCGGAACACAGCATCACATAGCAATATTAGAAGAAGAATGAAACAAATTGAAAAAGAAGTTTATAACAAAATCAAGATTATATTTTTATGATTAATACTAAGAAAAGCAAGAATGGAGAAAATAACAGGTATGGAAACTTTTTCACTTATAAAGACTTCTTTATATTAAAATTGATTAAAACATACAACAAAATATAAAATATATAAAATATATAATTAAATAATTATATAAAATATATAATTTTTTTAAGACGGTTTTTCCTGTGTGTAAAACTTAAACAAATTGTATGTGATAGCACTTAGAACTAGGATTTTAATAGTTCATACATTTTTTGCAAACAATATAATAATAATACTAAAATAATTTTTATGAGCAAAATAAATGTATAAATGGAATTTAATAATAATATACTGATAATAGTTTGTGATAAATATTTGTTTGTGAGATTACAGTTAGAGTGCTGTTAATATACATATCAAGAATATTATTGAAATAATAAGAGTTGATGGGAATCAATATGTATTATTATATATTTGTATATGTATATATACAATACCTTATTTAATAAAGTTTCTTAAATTTTTATATATGGAAAAAAGACTTACAAAAATTGTATACATTTCTTTTCATATGTGTAAAAAATAATAAAGGATTTGGATATATTTAGGTACAGGCCATTGGAAGATCAGAGCAATTAACATACAATCGAAGATGCTTACTATGAACAGCAGAGGCTGATATGGAGTCACTGGATTTATAGAAAGTATAGCCATATATTTAAAATATAATCAACTAGACCAGTGCTCGGAGATAGTTGCCCTTTTCGGGCCGATATGTGAAGCGACGCCTACGGTCCCCCCACTACCGCTCGAGGCTCGACGGCCGAGCCGCCGATCGCGCGCGTAACGCTATGCCTCAGGAGCGTCCCGATCTAAAAAATATGCTGAGATTGTACCTGCCGTCAAATCGTCGTTTAAATTTGCTTTGCCAGATAATCAGGTACAATCTCAGCATATTTTTTAGATCGGCACGCTCCTGAGGCATAGTGTTACGCGCGCGATCGGCGGCTCGGCCGTCGAACCTCGAGCGGTAGTGGGGGGACCGTAGGCGTCGCTTCACATATCGGCCCGAAAAGGGCAACTATCTCCGAGCACTAAACTAGACAATATTTATAAAAATAAAAGGTGATTACTATAATTAAAAATATTTAAAATACTTAAATATGTATTTTGTGATATTACAACAATGGAAGATATTTTTTAGAAGATTGGTTAGATTGGTATTAATCTTCATTGAAGATATTTTATAGTACTATCTACAGTCGATTGATTAATCTAACATAAACAGCATATAGCAAATTATAAAATAGTTTTAGATTTAAGTAAAGACCAGATCTTATATATTGGATTGTTGTATAGAAAATGTTCAAAAGTTTATGCTTTATGGAATGTATAAAATAAACGTTTTTCGATAATCAATTATTACATATTAAACATTAAAGTGATGCAAAAATAAATTTTACATTTAAAGAGTGATATAATTATGAAATAATTGTTAATTAATATACAAATTTTCAATTAACAAACTCTGAATTTTTCCAATTATTTATATTTTTCCTTATAAAATTGACTTGAAAATCATTGAAATAAAAGCATTTTATATGCAATAATCCAGTAATTTAGTTAGCATAATTTTTATTTTTGATTTATATAAAAAATATGAATGTGTATTGCATACATGATGATTCATATTTCATTATTTTAATACGATAGCCAAAAAAAATTTATTATCTTTTTCAAAATCTTATTAACAACGGAATTCTATTCATCACAACCGCGTTATATCACTGCAATATATTTTTTATTATTAATTCTTTATTTCCTTTTAATATTTATTTAAAAAATTTTAAATACTTGTTTGTTTAAATTGTGCATTAAGATATTATTATTGCACGTAAGATTAATTTGATTGCAATTATATTTGCAAATACTAGATACATCTGCTAAAGTTGCAAATATCTTTATTATCGTTAAAAGTTTATAATATCCATAATATTATTACTGATGCAATAATAGCTAAAAATAACGAATAAAAATATTTTAAAAACGAAGATATCTAATTTGGATAATTGGAAGAAATATAAAATATTAGCCAAATTTTTTTGCTTGATGCATTTCAAAATTGTATCATTAAAAGATGTAATAAACTATATTATAGAAGAAGGATGTAAACCAATATTCGACAGAGAAGAAATTAAAAAAGCTGCTAAAATTAATGAAGTGGAGGAGCGACGAACAGTTGTAGCTGTAGATGGAGAGCAGTCAGGTATGCATTACAGAAATAAAAGCTAAATTATTTTAATTTAAATTGCTATTTAAAAATTAAAATTTTATTTTGTTTTAAATACAAATCAATAAATTTGTAAAATAGCATTCAATTTTTCTTGGACTATTCTAGATCCCTAAAAAATTAAACTGAAGATTCCTGTGTATGTTATGTGTTATGTATAGAACATCAGTCTAAATTATGGATGCAAATTTTATTTATAGATTTAATCTTCGTTTAATTTGAGTAAAATAATACTTATGTATCGATAAATAAATTAATATTTTATTTTTCAACTTCTAACATTTTATAAATCCTAAATATCATTATAACACATATGAAAAATTCCCATACTTAAACATAACAATATTACAGTGTCGACCAGCAAGCCGCAGACTTCCAAGAAACATTCTTCATCATTGAGTCCTACATATAGTTCCAGATATTTATCTTCCCATCAATCCAGGTTTGTTTAATTCTCAATGATAATATATATATTTAATATTTAAAAAATTCTTTTTTCCATTTTAGATATCGTACAGATTCAAAGTATCAGGATAACAGGACAGAATTCCGTGATCATCATAAAAATATCGGGTAAAACGATGTGTCATTATTTATTTATGAAGAAGCATCTAACTTTATTTATTTTATGGCATTATTTATTTTAAAGCAATACAAAAAAACAAATGTTATATATGATGAAAAGAAACTCATTTATAATAATTATAGATTTTTGAAAATTAGATTTCTATTGTTTCAGAAGAAGCAGCATAGAGAAGCACAGAGAATATAAAGAGAAATATACAGAAAGAGATGCGCATAAATACAACATTAATCGTTCGCGTTCTAGAGAACGGGATTCGCGCAAGTCACATTCCAGGTATGGAATTAAATTATCAATATTATTTATTATTATTAACAATTTCATTGTGTTATCATAAACACTTTTATTATTGCAAAAGTGTCATTAGTAACACTTTTAAAAGTAATTAACACCAAATATAATATTAGACTGATTGAACTAATTGATTTATATTTGCAAGAAGTGAGCAAAAAAGATACTATTTTTTTATTAAAAATATGATTGATTATTATTTTTTTATTGTAATTGTTATATTATTTTTGTTATTATTGTTATAGGCCACTCATAGAAGAAAGATCTTATCGCGACAGATATCGTGACAGATCGAATGAACGTTTTCGTGAAAGAAGAGACAGAGATAGAGATAGAGATAGAGATAGAGATAGAGATAGAGATAGATCCAGAGAACGAAGGGATGTAGCACCGCATTATATCGAACCACCAATACATGTGCCTATCTATTATGTACGTGAGTTATGTAAATCTATATAAATCTAATTTCCGATCTAATAAATCTCTATGCAGATAAATTTCTATATTCTCTTAAATCGACTTGTAATTGATTTATTTCTCAATAATTCTAGAATCTTCCTCCGAGACCAATTGTAGTAAGCTCTATGGTCCCATTTAGAGGACAGGTTCCTCCTATGGGAAGAGGCCGACATTCTGCTTTAATGGCACCGGTCAGACCATTCCCTCCACGATTTATTCCCCCGGATATGTACAGGTTGGGACCTCCACCCCCAAATCCAAGTAAATAGAAATATTGTACAAATATAATATTATATAAGGTATATTGCATTTTTTTATATACATATGTATAATATGGTACAAAATTTTGCAGGATATGGACCGTTTTAAAAGTGAAACATATTCTTTACGCTGATCATATTTTGTAAATTCTACATATTGAATAATATGGAATTGATGAGAAGAGAAAAATCACATTCATACAGCTGATTAATATTACAAATTTCAAGAACAAGAAGCAAGGGCATACGAAATCGTTACAGGTTGTAAAGGTCCAATCAGACCATATTCTATCAATACTATATAATACATAAAATATTTTAAGAATGGACATTTTCAAAGAGGAAACCTACATCATCAAAAAGCAAATGATTATTAATGTCACTGTTCCTCTTGAAAACTTGATTAAAATGGAATTTTAAAAAAACTAAAAAAATAGTTACCATTGAACATGTACAGCACATATAAGTTATGTCTATTTTCTCTGAATAGGTTTGTCATAAGCCGTAAAAGATTTACAGAAGTAAAGAGACTACTTAAAAGAAAATCATATACAAATAATGTAAAGGATTGCTGTCTTGAACATTATAATATCATATATGAGATTTTTACTATCCAGGAAAATGGTCAAGGAAACTTTCAACACTATTATTTTTGGTTTAATATAAGAGTCCGATTTTGATTTAATAAAAAGATAGGGGAGGACAAACAATAAAAATAATATGAAGCATATACACACATTTTATATTATTACAGAGATAGAGATAGAGATAGAGATAGAGATAGAGATAGAGATAGAGATAGAGATAGAGATAGAGATAGAGATAGAGATAGAGATAGAGATAGAGATAGAGATAGAGATAGAGATAGAGATAGAGATAGAGATAGAGATAGAGATAGAGATAGAGATAGAGATAGAGATAGAGATAGAGATAGAGATAGAGATAGAGATAGAGATAGAGATAGAGATAGAGATAGAGATAGAGATAGAGATAGAGATAGAGATAGAGATAGAGATAGAGATAGAGATAGAGATAGAGATAGAGATAGAGATAGAGATAGAGATAGAGATAGAGATAGAGATAGAGATAGAGATAGAGATAGAGATAGAGATAGAGATAGAGATAGAGATAGAGATAGAGATAGAGATAGAGATAGAGATAGAGATAGAGATAGAGATAGAGATAGAGATAGAGATAGAGATAGAGATAGAGATAGAGATAGAGATAGAGATAGAGATAGAGATAGAGATAGAGATAGAGATAGAGATAGAGATAGAGATAGAGATAGAGATAGAGATAGAGATAGAGATAGAGATAGAGATAGAGATAGAGATAGAGATAGAGATAGAGATAGAGATAGAGATAGAGATAGAGATAGAGATAGAGATAGAGATAGAGATAGAGATAGAGATAGAGATAGAGATAGAGATAGAGATAGAGATAGAGATAGAGATAGAGATAGAGATAGAGATAGAGATAGAGATAGAGATAGAGATAGAGATAGAGATAGAGATAGAGATAGAGATAGAGATAGAGATAGAGATAGAGATAGAGATAGAGATAGAGATAGAGATAGAGATAGAGATAGAGATAGAGATAGAGATAGAGATAGAGATAGAGATAGAGATAGAGATAGAGATAGAGATAGAGATAGAGATAGAGATAGAGATAGAGATAGAGATAGAGATAGAGATAGAGATAGAGATAGAGATAGAGATAGAGATAGAGATAGAGATAGAGATAGAGATAGAGATAGAGATAGAGATAGAGATAGAGATAGAGATAGAGATAGAGATAGAGATAGAGATAGAGATAGAGATAGAGATAGAGATAGAGATAGAGATAGAGATAGAGATAGAGATAGAGATAGAGATAGAGATAGAGATAGAGATAGAGATAGAGATAGAGATAGAGATAGAGATAGAGATAGAGATAGAGATAGAGATAGAGATAGAGATAGAGATAGAGATAGAGATAGAGATAGAGATAGAGATAGAGATAGAGATAGAGATAGAGATAGAGATAGAGATAGAGATAGAGATAGAGATAGAGATAGAGATAGAGATAGAGATAGAGATAGAGATAGAGATAGAGATAGAGATAGAGATAGAGATAGAGATAGAGATAGAGATAGAGATAGAGATAGAGATAGAGATAGAGATAGAGATAGAGATAGAGATAGAGATAGAGATAGAGATAGAGATAGAGATAGAGATAGAGATAGAGATAGAGATAGAGATAGAGATAGAGATAGAGATAGAGATAGAGATAGAGATAGAGATAGAGATAGAGATAGAGATAGAGATAGAGATAGAGATAGAGATAGAGATAGAGATAGAGATAGAGATAGAGATAGAGATAGAGATAGAGATAGAGATAGAGATAGAGATAGAGATAGAGATAGAGATAGAGATAGAGATAGAGATAGAGATAGAGATAGAGATAGAGATAGAGATAGAGATAGAGATAGAGATAGAGATAGAGATAGAGATAGAGATAGAGATAGAGATAGAGATAGAGATAGAGATAGAGATAGAGATAGAGATAGAGATAGAGATAGAGATAGAGATAGAGATAGAGATAGAGATAGAGATAGAGATAGAGATAGAGATAGAGATAGAGATAGAGATAGAGATAGAGATAGAGATAGAGATAGAGATAGAGATAGAGATAGAGATAGAGATAGAGATAGAGATAGAGATAGAGATAGAGATAGAGATAGAGATAGAGATAGAGATAGAGATAGAGATAGAGATAGAGATAGAGATAGAGATAGAGATAGAGATAGAGATAGAGATAGAGATAGAGATAGAGATAGAGATAGAGATAGAGATAGAGATAGAGATAGAGATAGAGATAGATCCAGAGAACGAAGGGATGTAGCACCGCATTATATCGAACCACCAATACATGTGCCTATCTATTATGTACGTGAGTTATGTAAATCTATATAAATCTAATTTCCGATCTAATAAATCTCTATGCAGATAAATTTCTATATTCTCTTAAATCGACTTGTAATTGATTTATTTCTCAATAATTCTAGAATCTTCCTCCGAGACCAATTGTAGTAAGCTCTATGGTCCCATTTAGAGGACAGGTTCCTCCTATGGGAAGAGGCCGACATTCTGCTTTAATGGCACCGGTCAGACCATTCCCTCCACGATTTATTCCCCCGGATATGTACAGGTTGGGACCTCCACCCCCAAATCCAAGTAAATAGAAATATTGTACAAATATAATATTATATAAGGTATATTGCATTTTTTTATATACATATGTATAATATGGTACAAAATTTTGCAGGATATGGACCGTTTTAAAAGTGAAACATATTCTTTACGCTGATCATATTTTGTAAATTCTACATATTGAATAATATGGAATTGATGAGAAGAGAAAAATCACATTCATACAGCTGATTAATATTACAAATTTCAAGAACAAGAAGCAAGGGCATACGAAATCGTTACAGGTTGTAAAGGTCCAATCAGACCATATTCTATCAATACTATATAATACATAAAATATTTTAAGAATGGACATTTTCAAAGAGGAAACCTACATCATCAAAAAGCAAATGATTATTAATGTCACTGTTCCTCTTGAAAACTTGATTAAAATGGAATTTTAAAAAAACTAAAAAAATAGTTACCATTGAACATGTACAGCACATATAAGTTATGTCTATTTTCTCTGAATAGGTTTGTCATAAGCCGTAAAAGATTTACAGAAGTAAAGAGACTACTTAAAAGAAAATCATATACAAATAATGTAAAGGATTGCTGTCTTGAACATTATAATATCATATATGAGATTTTTACTATCCAGGAAAATGGTCAAGGAAACTTTCAACACTATTATTTTTGGTTTAATATAAGAGTCCGATTTTGATTTAATAAAAAGATAGGGGAGGACAAACAATAAAAATAATATGAAGCATATACACACATTTTATATTATTACGCATCAATGTTTATTCTGCTTTATGATTATTTTATTATATGGCTCTATTATATATTCATATTTTATTTTATATTTATAATATATATATTTTAATCCTAATTTATATATATGTGCAGGTCATATTAATATGCGTATGTATATGTATTTATATACATATATAAAAGAAAAAAATATAAATCTAAAATATATCTTCTCTATATAACAAATTAGAAGAATCTATATGTTGTCCTTATATACATATATTCTGATTACAATTAACATTATGCATTCTGTAAACACCCAATATAAAATGGATTCTTAAGGAAAGCATATTTTCTTTACAAATATTTTTCTTTGGACATATTTATTTACCTTCTTACTGCTCTTTTTAGAAATTTTTTTAGGAAAATGTAATTCTTTAAACTATCTAATTATATCCAACAAGATTCAGCAACCGACCACATTTTCCATGTAACCATATGAAAGTCAATGAAAAATAGATTATACAATAACACTTAATTTGCACATATGCCATTAGAATAAAAATTAAGATTGATAAGGACTGAAAGAAATGGTTTGAAATAGAAAAAAATGTTATCTCTTTCGATAAAGTTCAAATAATTAAAATGAAATTATATGGCATATTTTAATATTTATATTATTTCTGAACATTCTGCAGATTACACTCTTCAATTATTTCTTCTTTTTCCAGATTCTAATGGCATATTTGCAAAATAAAAATGTAACATATATTTTTTGCTCGTTTATTTTAATTTATTGTTTATATGGTTATGTACAATTATGGCTGTGTTCCAATATTCACTACCAGTACTGAAAATCTATAGTGCGCATATATAAATAGATTTTCAGCACTGGCAGTGAATATCGGAATGTAGCCTATATAGTAAGAGAATAGTGTAAGAGAAATTTTTTTTTTATTTTATAGAAAAAGATTTTCTCTCTAAAATGAAACCTAACTCAAATTGTAGTACTGTATCCTTAATGGAATATAAATCCAAGAAAGAAGGAAAAAATAACTCCAGAACTCCAGAATAATCTGCAATATTTTAGAGTTCGTTAATATTTCGACTTGTCCTATAAAAAAAGAAAAATAATATATTAATCTGCATAATTACATAATTACTAATTCAATCGTTAAAAAATTTTTAGTGGGCACGTTTGTTGCAAATTGTGAATAGAAAGCGCGTACATATTATGATTTACTAATATATAAATAATATAAATTAATATATAATCCAACTGCCTGTATATCTCATGAAATCGTCGATATCAAATATATATTTATCAAAATTTTTTCGAGCTCTTTACGTTTATAAATGCTACTTTTGATTGATTTTTATTGGTCAAAAAGTGCTTACTAATTTTTGCTGTCTTTAATAGATTACAATAAAATTAACTATTTGATTTATGTAAAAACGTTAATGTTAGGCTTTTCAGAGATGTGTGTTTCTATCACAGCTTTCTTCATATATTTTAATTCTCATATAAAAAGTTTTACAAAGTATGTGTGTGTGAAACAAAACCAACCTTGTTGCAGAATAAACACTTGACAATTGAATCCAATACATGATGGTATTGCTTTTTATGTGTACAAAATGTAATTTAATATCACAGTTGAGGTAATAGTACGGAATTATACTTAATTTGTACCATCTGGTCGTGCCCTGCCCGTAACTTTAGGCATCTTCTTGTTCGTTGAATCTTCTATCTCTTTAGGCTTATAATAATGAGGCGCCACTTCCAATAGCCATTTGCTTTCAATTTCTGTCACCTATTTAACATATATATTTTTTAATATTAACAACATAACTACTTCTAAATTTATAAACAGATTTGAATTTAGATAAGCTAGTTATATTTTTACATATACCTGACGCATAAATTCCTTGGTAGTAAAGACAAGTTCATGATAAAGAAGCCAGCGTGGAAGCTCCTGGAATAAAGAGCTGTTTGGATGTATTGCGACTGTTTGATTATGCTTTGCAGTCTTATAATGACCTCCCTTTGATAACCGTGCCACATGGTAAAAATAACCAGCTGTAATAGCCTAAGCAAAAATATTTCTATTATATTTTGCAAAACAAAATAATATCAATTTGTTATAATATATACACACACATATATATATATATATATATATAGTAAGCTCTATGGTCCCATTTAGAGGACAGGTTCCTCCTATGGGAAGAGGCCGACATTCTGCTTTAATGGCACCGGTCAGACCATTCCCTCCACGATTTATTCCCCCGGATATGTACAGGTTGGGACCTCCACCCCCAAATCCAAGTAAATAGAAATATTGTACAAATATAATATTATATAAGGTATATTGCATTTTTTTATATACATATGTATAATATGGTACAAAATTTTGCAGGATATGGACCGTTTTAAAAGTGAAACATATTCTTTACGCTGATCATATTTTGTAAATTCTACATATTGAATAATATGGAATTGATGAGAAGAGAAAAATCACATTCATACAGCTGATTAATATTACAAATTTCAAGAACAAGAAGCAAGGGCATACGAAATCGTTACAGGTTGTAAAGGTCCAATCAGACCATATTCTATCAATACTATATAATACATAAAATATTTTAAGAATGGACATTTTCAAAGAGGAAACCTACATCATCAAAAAGCAAATGATTATTAATGTCACTGTTCCTCTTGAAAACTTGATTAAAATGGAATTTTAAAAAAACTAAAAAAATAGTTACCATTGAACATGTACAGCACATATAAGTTATGTCTATTTTCTCTGAATAGGTTTGTCATAAGCCGTAAAAGATTTACAGAAGTAAAGAGACTACTTAAAAGAAAATCATATACAAATAATGTAAAGGATTGCTGTCTTGAACATTATAATATCATATATGAGATTTTTACTATCCAGGAAAATGGTCAAGGAAACTTTCAACACTATTATTTTTGGTTTAATATAAGAGTCCGATTTTGATTCAATAAAAAGATAGGACAAACAATAAAAATAATATGAAGCATATACACACATTTTATATTATTACGCATCAATGTTTATTCTGCTTTATGATTATTTTATTATATGGCTCTATTATATATTCATATTTTATTTTATATTTATAATATATATATTTTAATCCTAATTTATATATATGTGCAGGTCATATTAATATGCGTATGTATATGTATTTATATACATATATAAAAGAAAAAAATATAAATCTAAAATATATCTTCTCTATATAACAAATTAGAAGAATCTATATGTTGTCCTTATATACATATATTCTGATTATAATTAACATTATGCATTCTGTAAACACCCAATATAAAATGGATTCTTAAGGAAAGCATATTTTCTTTACAAATATTTTTCTTTGGATATATTTATTTACCTTCTTACTGCTCTTTTTAGAAATTTTTTTAGGAAAATGTAATTCTTTAAACTATCTAATTATATCCAACAAGATTCAGCAACCGACCACATTTTCCATGTAACCATATGAAAGTCAATGAAAAATAGATTATACAATAACACTTAATTTGCACATATGCCATTAGAATAAAAATTAAGATTGATAAGGACTGAAAGAAATGGTTTGAAATAGAAAAAAATGTTATCTCTTTCGATAAAGTTCAAATAATTAAAATGAAATTATATGGCATATTTTAATATTTATATTATTTCTGAACATTCTGCAGATTACACTCTTCAATTATTTCTTCTTTTTCCAGATTCTAATGGCATATTTGCAAAATAAAAATGTAACATATATTTTTTGCTCGTTTATTTTAATTTATTGTTTATATGGTTATGTACAATTATGGCTGTGTTCCAATATTCACTACCAGTACTGAAAATCTATAGTGCGCATATATAAATAGATTTTCAGCACTGGCAGTGAATATCGGAATGTAGCCTATATAGTAAGAGAATAGTGTAAGAGAAATTTTTTTTTTTATTTTATAGAAAAAGATTTTCTCTCTAAAATGAAACCTAACTCAAATTGTAGTACTGTATCCTTAATGGAATATAAATCCAAGAAAGAAGGAAAAAATAACTCCAGAATAGAGTAAGAATCTGCAATATTTTAGAGTTCGTTAATATTTCGACTTGTCCTATAAAAAAAGAAAAATAATATATTAATCTGCATAATTACATTAATATTAATTCAATCGTTAAAAAATTTTTAGTGGGCACGTTTGTTGCAAATTGTGAATAGAAAGCGCGTACATATTATGATTTACTAATATATAAATAATATAAATTAATATATAATCCAACTGCCTGTATATCTCATGAAATCGTCGATATCAAATATATATTTATCAAAATTTTTTCGAGCTCTTTACGTTTATAAATGCTACTTTTGATTGATTTTTATTGGTCAAAAAGTGCTTACTAATTTTTGCTGTCTTTAATAGATTACAATAAAATTAACTATTTGATTTATGTAAAAACGTTAATGTTAGGCTTTTCAGAGATGTGTGTTTCTATCACAGCTTTCTTCATATATTTTAATTCTCATATAAAAAGTTTTACAAAGTATGTGTGTGTGAAACAAAACCAACCTTGTTGCAGAATAAACACTTGACAATTGAATCCAATACATGATGGTATTGCTTTTTATGTGTACAAAATGTAATTTAATATCACAGTTGAGGTAATAGTACGGAATTATACTTAATTTGTACCATCTGGTCGTGCCCTGCCCGTAACTTTAGGCATCTTCTTGTTCGTTGAATCTTCTATCTCTTTAGGCTTATAATAATGAGGCGCCACTTCCAATAGCCATTTGCTTTCAATTTCTGTCACCTATTTAACATATATATTTTTTAATATTAACAACATAACTACTTCTAAATTTATAAACAGATTTGAATTTAGATAAGCTAGTTATATTTTTACATATACCTGACGCATAAATTCCTTGGTAGTAAAGACAAGTTCATGATAAAGAAGCCAGCGTGGAAGCTCCTGGAATAAAGAGCTGTTTGGATGTATTGCGACTGTTTGATTATGCTTTGCAGTCTTATAATGACCTCCCTTTGATAACCGTGCCACATGGTAAAAATAACCAGCTGTAATAGCCTAAGCAAAAATATTTCTATTATATTTTGCAAAACAAAATAATATCAATTTGTTATAATATATACACACACATATATATATATATATATACATACTTTTCTAATATTAATTGTTTCTGTGATTCCTGAGACTAATTCCATCTCTACACGTTGCATTAAAGCCACCAGCTGTTCTCTAACGTCTCTTGCTCGTTTCATAGATCTAGAAAACAAATCATAAAATTATTTTATGATACTTTATTAATATCATTGCTACTAATCATCAATTAACATACCTGTGTTGTATGAAATTTTCGTAACACCAATGTGTACTGAAATCACTCTGTGCCCATTGATTATACACATTGAGAAGTGTTAAATGATCACCGCCGAGTACATAAAAATTTTTGCGCGCAGCATCTGCGTGTATAATTTTGTCCTTTGGCCTATAAAAAATAGCACCATTTACCGAGAGCATGGCTGCAATAGTCGCTATCTCTTCTGAGCAACGGTATTTTTCACTAGCTAATAGCATCTTTGCCATCATTGGGTCCAGCGGAAACTCAGCCATTCTACGTCCGAGTTTTGTTAGTTCTCCGCGATGATTGAGCGCCCCCAACGCATAGAGTTGCTCCAATGCCAAGATCAATGTTTCAGGTGGCGGGGGATCCAAGAAATCAAAATGCATCAGATCATCGATCCCGAGAGCTTTCAGAGTGAGTACTGCATTACCTAATACAAACATAAATAAAATATTTTGACCAATTAAATTTAAAGAATATGAAAATATGACATTTTTATAAGTCAATAATGTAACATTGTATATTCTTGTTAATTCTTACCGAGATTAATTCTTTGAATTTCGGGCACAGTGCTTTCTTCAAGTTCATGTTGGTAGGCCCAAGCTGTGTAGAGGCGGAAGCACTTGCCAGGCGCTACTCTACCAGCACGTCCCGCTCTCTAAAATTTTATTTTCCGTTCTCATTGAAATTTCATGTATATAATTGAAAAAAGAAGAAAAAAACCGTTGTAAACTTTTTTCAAGAGAAATATTACCTGACTCGCAGACGCTTTACTGATCGGAACGATTATTAAGCTCTCCATACCGGTGCGTGGATTGAAATTGTTTTGCTTTGCATAGCCAGGATCTATCACATACACTATGTTGTCTATGGTCAACGAAGTTTCTGCTATATTAGTTGCTAACACCACCTTAAAAATAAAAGTTAAAATTTTATATGTATATAATTAAAAAAAATATTGTATAGTTTCTCAAGAAAAATATATTACCTTTCTCGCACCAGGTGGAGTTGGTTGAAATATCTTGATTTGCATGTCGCTTGGTAAATTTGCATAGACAGGTAAAATTAGTAGTTCTGCCAACTTGCTACCCAGTCTTCTCATTCTTTCCTGTAATATTTCCTGGCACGTCTCGATTTCCTCTTGTCCTATGTACAAAAATATATTTTTTACTATTTCACAACATTTTAGACATGCTGATGCTTACCAGTTAAAAACACCAATATATCACCCGGTGGTTGTGTGGTGTGAATTTGAAGAATGGAAACTACACACGCCTCAATATAATCTGATTCTGGTGCCTTTGTATAGTAAATATCGACGGGAAAACGGCGTCCTGGTATTCTGAATATAGGTGCATCATCGAAAAATTCACTAAACTTTGTAACATCCAATGTAGCCGATGATATTAACAGTTTTAAATCGGGACGAAATCTCGCAATGTCTTTCACTAATCCAAATAATATATCGGTATGTAAAGTCCGTTCGTGTGCTTCATCAATTATCATTACGCTAAAAATGCAAAAAAATAATTATCATAATAATTTATCAATATATTAAGAAAGCGTTTCAAAGCGTTTCTGAGTAATATTGATTCAATTCTAATTTGTTAAAAATTATTCACAATTAATTTTCATTTTTCTTATTTACTCTTATCTTCTCTTTTTTCTTTTCTTTTGTTTTTTTCATTTAACTTTATTATGTTTTTGTCTTAATAATTCTTATTTTCGATTCTATTAATAATGTTCATAAATATATACCTATACGATGCTAGATCAGGTTCACTGAGGAACTCGCGGTGTAATGTACCATCAGTCATATACTTGATACAGGTGCGATGCGACGTACAATCTTCGAAACGAATAGCATAGCCAACTTCATTGCCCAGTTTAACAGCCATTTCGTGGGCTACTCTTGCAGCCACTGACATCGCTGCTACGCGCCGTGGCTAAGATAAAAGAAGTGATACGTTAAAAGAAAATAATATACAAATAATCTCACTTGTTTTTAATGCTTAACAATATATACCTGTGTGCATCCAATAATTTTACCATCCTCTGCAAATCCAGATTCGTACAAATACTGTGGAATCTGTGTGGTTTTCCCTGATCCTGTTTCACCTTCTATTATCAAAACCTGATATTCAAAAACGTAACGCCTCTTGTATTCTATAATATTGTTTATTACCTGCAATGCGTTCTGATATCTACTTATTTACCTGATGATCCTTGATAGCTTGTATCAAATCCTTTCTAAAAGGATAAATGGGTAGACTCTTCTTTGTTTCTTGTATCGTTTGTAAGCTTTTAACATGTGCAGGTGGACTTTCCTCGCGTTTTTTCTCCCTATCATGCCCTGGCATATGTAACACTTGAACAAATTCTATCATATCATCCTCCATGAGGAGACTATATTCTTGTTGAGCTACAAAACAGAATTATAAGATTATTTAAGTTAAAAGAAAATAATACACAAATAATCTCACTTGTTTTTAATGCTTAACAATATATACCTTTTCTATCTTTAGCACCAAAACGAAAAACAGCTGATGATATCTGGTCCGATTCCCATTTGCTTTGTTCCGACTGTGGTGGCTCTTTGTCAATATCAGGTTCTGGTTCCATTTTACCTTTCTCAAGAGGCATATGATAACGCTGGATACGCTCAAGCTCCCTTGCCTTTTCATGTTCTTTTGCCAAATACAATAATTGCTTTTTTCGAGCTCTTTCGTGCTTTTCCCTTTCTGTTAAACTATTAAACAAGTACATTATTAGATAACTATGTTTTTTAAGTTAATTATATGAAAAAGTTATATCTCAGTATAAAATTACATTTCTTCGTCAAATAAATATTCATCATCAAGAATGTCAGCCTCTAATTCTGCAACTTTGTCCTCTTTACGTTTTTCCAAATATTTTCTACGAGACTCAACTCTCAATTTTGGTACCAGCTTCTCTTTTGCATCAATCTCCATAATTTTGAGCCTCTTAGCTGCTTCAGCTACAAGAACAGAAAACATAAATTTCAAAATGAAGAATTTAGGAAAATTTTTCATTGTAATATAATATTAATTAATATATAATGTTGTAATGAGTATAATATCAACCGTATTCTCTCTCTCTCTCTCTCTCTCTCTCAAATATAGTTGTATTAGTTATGATTGAAGGCGAAGACATGAGGGTAAATATTTAGAATGACAAACTCTACTTAAATTCTGATAAAAATATACTCAATCGATGCCTTTTTGCATAAAAACAAAGATTTGAAAAGTAAAAGTCATCGCTCAATAGTGTAAGAAGAATTATTAAGCATTAAAGATGCCACTTCTGAAGGTTTGGAAAGCTGCATACTGCATCAATTAAGTGTATTTTTATCAAAATATAAGTAGAGCGGGTTACTCTAAACATATACCAAAATGAAATATTCTCTTTGTAACTTACCGGCTCCAGAACCACTAGGCATGGCAATTTTGCGTGTTTTGCTTTCATCTTTGGCTTTAAGACGGTTAGCAAAGCTATCTCGTTCTTTAATATCTTTCTTGCGAAGCTCCTCTTCGTCAGAATGCACAGACTCCATCCTGGCGATCAGTTATCAGTTTCGGTAATAAAACTCAGGAAACATTCACGCTCATCGAACGGCTTACAACTCACGAGATTCTATGCGTTCTGCGAGTAACTATTAGTTTTCTTTTTACGCTGTTCTTCAAGTTATCGACACCGAGAGAGACTCTTTCATAAGAGTCGCATCATAACAGACAATTCCCCATTTTTTATCAAAATTCTACGAAAGAGAAGAAAATATATAAAACATTTAATTGACCAATCACGAAAAAGAAATCTTCGTCCTGATTGGTAAATAAAAAAAACTAGGGCGAATAAAAAATGGCAGAACCAATCACAAATTGCCGTCAAGGCGTTCTCATTAGAAGGTATTTATTATGACGCCATATTTGGTCGCCTCCATGTACTATATACGAGTAGCTTAATCAGTAAGATGTTAAAAAGTCGACTCTCTTGTGGGTTTCTATTCAGAATATTTTCGCACTTTTCTGTCGAGCTCTTTCATGACTAGAGACTATGGACCAATATCAAGAGACAGATAGATAAAGAGAGATTCTGCACACATCTATGCTCTGGTATCATATCAGTCAAGATTTTTAATACAAAATTCATTGTGTTACTGTTCTCTCACAATTATTATATGCGCTTTTCCGAATCCGAATGATATTTATCATGTTTTTGCACACATGAAATCGTTGATCATATTAACAGAGTGATCGTGAGTTATTAAGATTCCAGCCAAACAACTCGCCGATGTCATTTATTGGTTATTAAATTTTTCGAAAAGTTTCTACGCAAAAAAAAATATCAACACACATTACAGAGGACGGAAAAAATTATGTAGTAACAATGGTTGTAAGCACAGCGACTGATATGACTGGATCCATATACCATGAGCGACAAGTAAGTTTTGATAATGTCATTGTATATTTTTTTATAGATTATATTGTTATATATTTATGTTGCATAAAAGATATAATACAACAAAAAGCACAGAATGTTAATAGAGATAATGAAATAAATGTTTCATTTTTTAAATTGATTTGTATATATATATACTTTACATACGTATTAATTTCAATGAGATTACAAATTAAATTATAGGTGAAGGAGCTATGTGCATTACACGCACTAAATAATTTGTTTCAAGAGCGTGGCTTTAGTAAACAGGAATTGGATCAAATTTGTTACAGTTTAAGTCCTGATGTATGGATTAATCCTCATAAGTCATTACTAGGACTTGGCAACTATGATATTAATGTTATTATGGCTGCTCTTCAAAGAAGAGGACGCGAAGCTGTATGGTTTGACAAACGTAGGTCTGTATTTTTGTATTAGGAAATATGGTTATATATATTATTATAATTATGAACATTCAAGAATTTTTATTTTATAGGGACCCTAAATGTTTGTGTTTAGATAACATTGAAGGTTTTATACTTAATGTTCCAACTGAATATAAATTAGGTTTTGTGTTACTTCCTTTGAAACGACGTCATTGGATTGCTCTAAAAAAGATTCATGGTGCCTTTTATAATCTTGATTCAAAATTGGACTCACCACAATTAATAGGAAAGGTCAATAAAAAATAATTAATTTTATCAAGACAAATATATTTTTGTATTGTATAATATTAACTATATATATATATATATTCTTTTTTATTTTTCAGGACAACGATTTACTCATATATCTAAAGGACCAGATAGATAGCAAGGAAAAGGAACTATTCCTTGTTGTTTCTACAGAAATTGATAGCAATCAAGGATGGTTAATAGACACATGTGAAAACAAAGATGACAATAACATGGATCATGATTCCATTAGATATATCGAGGATGGATATCCAGATTTAGATTTGAAAAAGTCAGAGTCCAAAGAGATGAATGAAAATGAAGAATTTCTAGATAATAAAAATTCTAGATAATTGGAGCCATTATGCTCCACTTAAATGTTTATTTATTCATTGTTACAATCTTAAGTAAAAAGGTGGCTAGTTGTTGCAAAGACTCAGAATTATGAAAAAAAAGAGAAAGAAAAATGAAGCAAATAAGGAAAATTATGTCTAATGAGTGTTTTACTGAAAGTGTTTCACAGTAATATTTCCATTCCACATAATATAAATACAATTTTTTTTTATTTATTTATTTTTCTTAAGAAAGTCATTTATGCGAATGTATCACATTGTGTATATCACATGATATATTTCATGTACAATTTACATAACACATTTTATGTGAAACAATGCAATTTAAAAAATAACATGTAAGATATGTAGCGTTTAGTATTTATTAAAAATGAAAAATGTTGCTTTATTAAAAGGTAATATGTATAAGAGAATAATTCATATTTAAACGACAGCTATTCACATGAATTGTGAGAAGGTATTTATATGTATACGTATCGTGATATTATTTATTGTGATAATCATATCTGTTATTTTATTGCTTGTGTAAATAAATACTTATAATATAAAATTATTATGATAGATTTTAGGCACAATCATACAACTCTTGCACAATGGATAGTCTTGTAATTTGTTTTATTAATATGATTTATTATATATATAAGTAGAATTTATTGTTTATATTTTTATAAGAGCATAAAATTTATTTTTATTGTGAATATGGATATATGTTGGTATATTTAAACGAAGATGATTTTAAATGATTAAATGATTATGATTTTAAAAGCAGATAATAATTGATTAGCGATAATTAATTTACTTTTGTTATTGTACAGTCGCGAAAATAAGTCAATCTTAGCTAATGTAAACTAATTATACAAAATACATATACATATTATACAAAACGTAGTCGCATATGATACTATTGTTACTATGTTACCATTTTATTGCAAGCGCTGTATTCATCTTTTCTATTTCATGATACTGCGTACTAAAATTTGCGCTAACTTTGTCTGTATGTTCTCCTCCCAGCCAAGTTTTATACAAATTCTGCACTACTTTGTTTTTGTCGGGTTTGCTTAACGGAAGTTTATGATAAGCATTTTCTAATATCGATGCAAGTTCTCGGGGTTGGACATTTCCTTCAGGTCTTATTTGTGCTCCACCATTTAAGCAACCTAACAATAATAATGACATTAACATATTTAACAAAATTATTTAGCACACACAACTTTAACGAATTGTTTTAAATAAAGCGATAGTTACCACATGGGCATGCCATAATTTCCACATAGTCGTAAATACATTTGCCTCTTTTCATCTTCTGAACTATGTTTTGTATATTCCTGAATCCATTAATAATAGCAAACTTTAATAACACCTGATCATTCCTCTTCAGCTCTGCTTCTTGGTAATCGGGATTTCTAAGATTTTTAAAATCTACCACGACATCCTCCTCATCAAAAAGATTCTTCGCTGCATAACGAAAAATAAAATCCGCGTAACCACCTGATCCCGATCCGCTGTGACCCCATAATTTGTTTTCGATTTCTTTGTTATAAGAACCAAATGGTTGTTTGATTTCACCTTCGTGTATTTCGTTCAATACTAAACCGTCTTCACTAAGCATTTGTTCCAGTTCAACTGAAAAATAATGTAAACTATATATATATATAATGTATATTGATATTGATATGTACATACTTGATGTTATGACGCAATCTACGTCTCTTGTATTTTTTTGCTGATTATAAAAGTCTTCTCTGGAAGCTTCCAATTTTTTGTCATAACAAGGCATTACAGTTACATGGTATATTCGTTCTGGTGAAAGACCCATATTTTCGGCTAAGTGGTATTTTACTAAAGATCCCATGATTTGTTGAGGTGATTTTGTGACACTTATATATGGCAATATAAAATTTCCATGAGTTTTCTCTGCATAACATACCCAGCCTGTCACAGAAAATAAAATTTTACAAGTTTCAAGAATGACCAACATGTATTTTCATTAAAGCATTTGTTTCACCTGGACAAGAAGAGGATAGCATTGGTAATTGATTTCTTATGCCCTCCTTATTAGCTTTATAACGCTCGACGAATTCTTTTGCAGCTTCTAATAAAACAAAATCATCAGCCACAGTCATATCTAATACTGCATCGGCTCCCAATTTATAGAAGAAACCTGCCAATTTACAGAGTGTTTGCTCAGGTGTAAGTTCGTAACGCTGGGCCAATGACAATACAGGTTGTACTGATAGGCTCACTACTATATATTTAAGATCTGTACTTCCTATATTCTGTATAAATACAAAAGATATCATGATTAAAAAATACAATAAATAAAATATATAGCCTATAATGTTATGTTATATATCTTACTATTAAAGACAAAATTGTAAATATTCTTAAGGTTTCATAATAATAAATTATATTTATATTTTTTAAAAAAACTTATCTTTAATCCTGATTTTACATTTACATATTATGATACATATTTGTTACTCACTTGTTGAGTTATTTTCTCCTGAAATACTCTGAGCAGTTCTTCTCGACTTTGTTGAGTAACTAACACACTCTCAGCAGATGTAATGCAACCACTGCATGCTAAACAATCTGCGAGTGTGATCTCCACTTTTTGCAATTTTTCAGGCTGTCTAATCTATATAATAAAGGATATTTTAATAAAAAAATTTTATGTTATTAATTTTTTTTCAGTATAAATAAATGAATGTTAAGAACATTTACTTCATTATGCACCAAATTGTCAGATTGTATTTTTATTTTTGCACCTGTTTTGCTTTTGTTTGATTGCATTTCTATAGGTTTAATGCATTCCTGTAACAATGAAACATAACTTAAATCAGAGCATAATGTGATCATGAATAACCCAAAGAATGACATCAAGTATTAATATATACCTGTGATGGAGTGATAAAGTCATCCAGATTTGTAATCTGCAATGCTCCACTAAATCGTGATGCCATTTTTGTCCAAATTTGACTTCTTGTATAATTTGACTCTTACACAAATATTTTCTGTAAACACAATTTATATATAAAAAAACTGATGTTATAAAAAATTACTTTTTCTTTATATATAAAAAAAAAAAAATTTAAGAAAGATAGGCTCAGAAGTTATTAATATTCTCTATCTATAATAAATTTTATTTTCTGTAAGGTCATTCAACAACATTAAACATAAAACGCATCAAAAAATTCTCAGTATTATAATAAATATTTTAATGTGTCATAATATGCGTGTCATTATAATCAAAGATACTGTATATAACCTTTTCATTACTTTCGAGGCACATATATAACTCATTAAAACATTTTTGCAATTCTATAAGTGAACACTTTCTGTATTACAATTCATACATACACTAAAGCTAAAAATAATGGTCAAAATTTTCATATAGCGAAAAAGGTAAGGAATATTTTCATCAAATTTTAATATGAAGTTTTCTCTTTACTTATAATCAACACAATCTGTTCTCCCATATCATATGATATGACTCACTGACTTGCGCCTGAGATATCGCAACCATTCCATTGTGCGGAGTACTCGTATAAGCATCATCAAGGGTGCGATTCGCTTTATATAAATATAAAATAACAATATAATGACTGAAGTTAGAAAGGATGATGTTGTAAAAATTCTTCACACCTATCCGCTTTGTAGAGTGAGTGAAATGCGTTTTCGCGCCTAATTTATTGTATAACAAATTTTGCTGAAAAAGTAGATGCGGACATGACAGTTGATCAATAAGGGAGAGAAGCACATGACATACGTTTTACTACATATACATATATATATATGTATTTGTTCAATCGATTTTTCAAACTTAAAATCGAGATTATACGCATTTTTATCGGCTTTTAAATAAATGTCAATTAATATCTCAAATTTGACTTAGCATAACATATATGCAGGCCATTTTAAAAATTACATACAAAGCATTTATAAATATTTAAAGAATCATTTTTATCCCCCTTTAAATTTAAGTTTCATCTTCCTTTAAATTTTTTTAAAGACTTATCTTATTGTATAAAATTATATATATAATTTTGAGAAAAATTATAAATATGCTCTTATTGTATGAATTATATTATAGCCAATTGAAATAAATATATTTATATATAAA